TGTCCTTTCATTTCAGTTGCCCAGTTTTTGAGTGGGTCTTTCGTTTTGGGGGTTCTAAGTTTTCTAGCTTTTATATATTCTAGATATAGTCCTTTTCTGAGGAATGGCTGGCAATTTTTTTTCCAGGCTTGGGTTTTTTTCTTCACTTTTTGAAGAAAACTTTTACATTTGGTGTTATCTCATTTGATGGTTCTTGATACTGTGTTTGTTGTGCAACTGGGGTTCTGTTCAGAAAGTCCTTGTCTATGTCTGTAACTTCAGGAGTTCTATTTATTTTATCTTCCAGCAGATAAAGTGTGTCTGTTTTAACATTTAGATCTTTGATTCACTTTGATTTTAGTTTAGTACATGGTGAGAGATATGGGTCTAGATTCAATCTTCCACGCGTGGCTAGCCAGTTTTCCCAGCACCATTTATTAAGGGGGCTATCTTTGCCCTCCATTGTCAAAGATCAAATACTTTAATGTGCTTGGGGTTGTTTCTGAATCTTCTATTGTGTTTCATTGATCATCACATGTATTTTTGTGTTAATACCATATTGTTTTTATCTATAGCATCATATTATAACTTCAGATTCAAGATTGTGATGCCTCCTCCTCTGCTCTAGTTACTCAGCATTTCTTTTGCTATTCTGGATCTCTTGTGGCTCCATATAAATTTTAGGATTATTTTCTCCAGTTCTGTGAAGAATGCTGTTGGTATGTTCAGATCTTATTAAATCTGTGTATCACTTTTGGAAGTATGACCATTTTGACTATAGTACTTTGCAAATCTATGTGCCGATAAATTGAAGAATTCAGAAGGAATGGATAGATTCTCAGATGATATGTGTGAATTCCCAAAACTGAACCAAGAATATATAAAATCCCTGAATAATCCAGTAACAGGCAATAAAATTGAAGCAGTAATAACCTACCACTTAAAAAAAACCCATGTCTGGATGAATTCACTGCTGAATTCTACAAGAACTTCAGGGAACATCTAACACCTATACTCCTCAAGCTCTTTAATGAAATTGAAAGGGAAAGAGTACTCCTTAAGTTATTCCTGGATGCTAGCCTTACCTTGATTCCAAAAACCAGACAAAGATCCAATCAAAAAGAGAATTATATATTGGCCAGTGTCTTTAATGAAAATAGATGCTAAAATCTTCAACAAGATACAGGGCAAACAGAATGCAAAAAAACAAGAAAAAACAAAAGATAAGAACAAAGAAGCCTCAATTTATGTATGCAAGGATGGTTCAATATATAAGCAAGTCAGTAAATCCAATACACCATATAAGCAGAAGCAAGGGGAAAAAATCACATAATCATCTCAATAAATGCAGAAAAAGCCTATGACAAAATCTAATATTCATTCATTATAAAAAAAACAAAGAAAATAGGTATTGAAAAACTATCTCAATTTAATACAACCATTTATGACTAATCTATTGCCAACATCATATTAATTCAGAAAAACCTGAAAAATTTCCCTCTAAAATCACGATCAAGACAAAGATATCCATTATCACACTTCTGAAATATTAGAAAAAGTAATTAGGCAATAAAAAGAAATACAATGTATATTTATAGGAAAGGAAGAACTAAAATTATCATTATTTGCAGTTGATATAATCTTCTACATAGAAGATCCAAAAATTCCACCAAAAGACTCCTGGAATTAATAACAAAATTCATCAATGTAGCAGGATACAAAATCATCATGAAAAATCAATAGCATTCTGATATACCAATAATGAACTTACTGAGGAAAAATACTATTCACAATACCACAAATAAAAGTTAAGTATCAACAAAGTAACCTAATCAAGGAAGCAAAAGCCCTCTACAACCAAAACTACAGTACTCTGAAAAAAGAGACCAACCAGGGCATCAGAAAATTAAGATATCACTGTTCTTGAGAAGCAGAACGAATGTAGTCAAAATGGCGATTCTTCATTCTCCTTCTCCTAATATTCATACACCTAATTTCCTTTTCCATCTTGTTGTTTAGTTTTTCTTCCAGACTCCAGCTCCTGAAGTTTTCCCACATTCATTCACTGTGTCCTCTACAATTCACAGACTGCCATTACCAAAACCTTGTATATCTTCAAACTCACAAATGAGCATTTTCTTCACCATTGCACACTAAGCAAAATCACGTTTGCCCAAAACTCCCTCATGTAGTGGCTGTTCACATGTTCTCATGAATCTCTGGGTGTAGGGTAAGACCTTGCTCTTCATTTTGGTTTCCAGACTCTTCTCTCCACCCTCTTGAACCCCTAAAGAAGCCTATATTGCACATCATCAGACAGTAATAGTATACTTCCCTGCTACAGTCATGCCAACTACAGGTCTTTCCCAATGATCTTTGATCCTCTTTCATGTTTCAATACTACCCCTTCCTGCCTTGAATTTTGTTATTTTTCAATACAGCCAGGCATGAAGTCTCAAATTTCACAAGCCTGAAATTTAAGTATATTTAAATCCCAAGATCTGTTCCAGTCTCTTTGTAATCTTTTTTTAAAAATAGAACATACCCAATCATTTAGGAAATCTTACTGGCCTGAAAAATATTTGTAGAATGTACAAGTTTTAAATAGCTTGCTTCTGTTGGCCATAGTTTGGACCTTAAATGACCCTCAAATGTCCATGTGTTAAATGCTTGATCCTTGTTTCTTTACGAGGTGAGACCTAGCAGGAGGAAAGGAGGTCCTTGTGGTTGTGTTCTCTCTCTCTCTCTCATTCACATCTGAAGTGAATTGTGCAGCTTTCTTCTCCTATTCCTTGTTACAGGCCCAGACCCATAAGATCAAGTGGCCATGGACTGAAACCTCCAAAAAGGTGGTAAGTCAAAATTGACTTACTAAATTTTTTACTAAATTTGTAAGTCAAAATAAAATTTTCCACTTTTTAAGGATATGTATCTCAGGTGTTTGCTACAGAAATGGAAAGCTGACTAGCACACTGTCCAGCTACTAACTCATAGTCCTAGAGCCTACAGCCCAGACTCTCCCACTGATATTCCAAGTTATTTGTAAGTGCTTTGGGGATTATACCTTCCCAGGGTCTTCAGTGCTATCTCAGTATAGAACACATAAAAATCTGTAGTATATTAACTACCACTTCTCCTACCATTCTTTCATATATTCTCTTCACTATTAGGGATTTTAATATACTGGCTTTCATTTCAGAGGGAAGAATGGGAGCACACAAACAGAAACATATCTTACATTCTTTTGTTTTGAACCATAGCACTTCTATATGGTCTCTAAGTCTTCTTGTATCTCTACAATCTTTTCCTTTGTACCCATAAGATATAAAATGATAATACAAGTAAATTTAGTTTTTAAAGTGTATCTTGAGTTTTATTAGTCTTAGTTTCATAACAGAAGATACTTTTTAAAAGTTTCATTCTCTAGGATGATTTTCGGAAGTTAGTGTTTGTGTTTTAACTTAAGGCACAATGGCTAGCATGTACATTGGTCTAAAAAGCTGTCTGATTCTGGGAAAGTGGTCCTTTGACAATGTCTAACACTAAAGATTGCATTTAAAGTCATTATCACATTGTCCTTTTATCCTTTGATTCAGATATTTGTCTTTAAGAAAAAATTTACTTAAGAAATTTGAGTTTCTAAAAACCCAACCATCTTTGATACAATATTTTAATAACTTGGTTACATTTGTCAGTCCTCTGAAGAAAATGAGCAAATATATGACATGAGTAATAAAGTTGAGAATTTAAAACAAAAAATATTAATGAATAATCTATTTTCAGAATCATGCCTAGAATGAATAAGAATGTAAGAACAATTCCTAAGTAGAATAAGAAATGTAGGACTTGTTTACACGGAAGTGATAAATTTGGATAGAATATTTCAGTCTTCATATAAGCAGGATGATATTTCAGGTTCTGAAAAATCCCAGTATCAAAACACAGTAAGATTAAGTGGACTTCCAGAATAGAAATCATTTAGAAGTATTTGCAAAAAGTGATGTGGAAAACATACCCTTTCTTTGGTGAGTTAAAAGACAAATTGCTATTTTAAGATAAAAATAAAGCTAACTCTAAAGTCCCATTTAGTCATTTGTCATGGGTCTCCTAGGAAAATCAAGTGATGTTGTGACATTTTAGAAATATTTTCAGTGAATATTTTTATCTTAACAAAATGTTTTTGAGGTTCTTAAAGAAAAGAAAAAGTTACCTGCAGTCTCTCTAATGATTTGAAAATAATTAAGTTGTACAATGTGTCCTCCAACTCTAGGAAGGCTGATAGAATAGGGCATTATAGTTTTGTTTTCAATTCTTCATCATTCAAGACCTTGGAATTTTTGTGTCCGTCTTTGCACTCATTCTCCTTCTCTGTGACCTTTGTGTCTGCAAGCTCAGTTCCCGCAGAATCATTTTCACCAGGTAGATGACGTTTACTCAAAAGAGTTAGGGTCAAGAAGGCTGGCAAAAAGCTTAATCCTCGTACTCCTGCAGGCAATCCAAGGTAGATGTGCCTATTTAAGACAGTATTAAAACATATTAAATCTTACACAGATAATGTGGTCAGTACAAGCTAATTTTGTATACCTTTATAGATATTTTATTACCATAACAACAACAGCAACTATTATCTTGGCTGTCAACATTTTATAAGTAACTCCTGTTAAAATATGTTAACGTTCCACCAGAAAGTCCAAATTTATTTTCTTTACCTTAGCTATTTGTTACTATTTTTTGCATTGAATTGAAATTCCATCTTAAACATAATGCTGACCATGACAGCAATTTTCTCCCGTTATTTAATAAAAATATTCCAAAGAATCATCACTAATTATGATATATATTCTTGGGAGATTTTTAAAGGAATTTATTTTTTGTTCTGAGTTTGCTCAAAGTTTTAATCATGAATATACAAAATATCAGCAAATCACTATTCTACATAGAGGAACAGCTAAGATTTTTCCAACTTTATATTTATAAGATGTGTTACACTAATAGATTCTTCTGATGTGCAACCAACATTACATTGCTAAGTAAACCCCATTAGCCACTGTTATACATTAGTAGATTCAATTTGTTAATTTTCATGTAGAATTTTTACATGTGTATTTATGGGATTAGCTTGTAATTTTGTTATTGTTTTGAACTTATCCAGAGTTAATATTAAGATTGTATTAGCTTTATAAAGGGAATTGAGAAATATTGCCTTTTTCCAGTTTCTTAAAATAGCTCATATAATGTTGGAATCATTAGTTTGTTGCATATTTGATAAAATTTGCCTTAAACTATCTGGACTTGGTACTTTGGGAAAGTAGACATTTTTGAAAGATTTGTATTTCTAAACAGGTATTAAAATATTCATGTTTTCTGTGTGTTTATAGTAAAATTTGATCGTTCATATTTGCCTAGAAAACTCTCTAATATACTCCAAATTTTTATTTCTGAAACCTCTAAGCATCTCTACTGGTATCCTTTTATTATTCTTCATAATATTTGTTTGTGCCTCTTCTCTTTATTTGCTTTTCCAGGTTATTATTATGTTCTCATCTTTCCAAAAACATAGAATTTTATTTTTTCACTGCTGCTGAGATGAATAGCTTATGTATTAATTTCTGCTTATTTTCATCTTTCTACACCTGAAGTTTTCAAGAGTACAAAGAAAAGCATTCCAGAGACTGGATTTCGGGCTCACCACAGCACATTATGTCCTCATTTTAACTAATTCCATTTGTTAGGACTATGTTTCCAAATAAGTTAATATTCTGAAGTTATGAGTAGATATGAAGTTTTGAAGCACACTACCTAAGCCAGTAAAAAGTTTTCTACCTCATCATTTTGATTAAAACATGAAATCTGGACCTACTCGACTCATTGGAAGTACTTTATTATCTCTTTGGAAGGTGATATCCCAGACTTCCCTGTCCATTTCTAGACTTAGAACTATAGCCAGCCTTTAAATACAGTTCTCTTTACTCTTTTGTGGCCCTGTTTATTTTTTCAGTTCGGGCCCAGATGTCCAGAATGATATTTATATTGTCTTGAACCTAGCTATGCCCCTTTGGGATTTTAAAAACATTTTATTTGTTATTCCTAGTTGGGATAGGAAATACTTTAGCATGTAATTAAGCAATTATTTATGAGGTTCTTATTTTGTTCTTATCACTTCTTATTTTATTGCACTTTGTCTAAATTCTGAATTCATTAATATTTAATCCTTTATAAAAATGTATGTACCTGAAAAAGATCTAAAAATTCCTTTGAGTACTGATTAGCCTCATCAAATATTCTATTCAGTGCTTTTATTAACATAGAATTCTAATTATTCTATTGGTTTCATTATAATTTATTTTACCTGTAAGTAATTTAAGACTGTGTTCTTTCTCTTTCTCAACATTTAGGGTAGTGACAATCTTATCACTGAATTCTAATTCCATTGCATTTTGAACAGAAAACTAATTTGTTTTAAAAAAATTTTTCTTAGCAGCATAGGACTTAGTCAATTGTTGTAAATGTCTAAAATAGTTTTCAGAAGAATATATATTCTGTTTAGTTAGAAAATATCTACATCTGCTAAATTACTGTTATATAATTGGTAATTCAAATCTTCTGCATCCTTACTTATGTGATTTATTTTTAATGTTGACTGATTTGCATATGTTGAACTACTCTTGCACTCCTGGAATTAAACTAACTTGATTATTTTATACAATATTTAGGTCATAATTTTGAATTTGACTTGCTAGTATTTTGTTGAGAAGTTTCACATCTGTGTTCATCAGAGATACTAGACTAAG